TTGGAATGGGCTGCCCAGGGAGGTGGTGGAGTCCCCATCCCTGGAGGTGTTTAAGACGTGTTGACATAGTGCTGAGTGATCTGGTGTAGTTGGGAACTGTCAGTATTAGGTTAATGGTTGGACTGGATGATCTTCAAGGTCCTTTCCAACCTAGATGATTCTGTGATTCTGTAATACCTCCCCAGCCTAGTAATATATTTTGTGAAGAAAGTAACAGATTGATTGTCTTCTATTGAGAACTTGGCCAGTGAAAAATTCTGACAAGTGTTTTTTAAAGACAAGGTGGGTAAGGAGAGAAGAAAGTGGGAGTGCAGGTGAAGAAAGGTTGCTCTTCCAGTGCACAATTTTGACTGTATACTGGGGTTGTGAACATCATGGTAACATATACTGGAGGTAGTGTAGCTTACAATTCTTAGTTTTTTTATTTACATTTTTAAGAAGAAAACATACCTATTTGTTTTAAATTTCTTTCCCTTGTCTTCTCTTTGCCTTTCAAAGACCCTGTTTATTGCCCAGTGATCTTCACTGGATGGAAGGCAGAAAGTAGACCCTCCAGAGTTTCTCAAAAGATAACTGCTTGTAAAGCTGTTGGGGGCTGCTAGGAATAGATGTCCTTCAAGCAGAGGCCCACTGCACTGCAGGTGTATACTCTTGAAGGCTCAGGTTTAATGTTATGTGCCATTGCTGTGAAGTCTCTGTTGTATTTTAGTCTATACACACATGCTTTGAAAGTAAAGTAAAATATAAAGTACAACACATCAAAATTTTTTTTTCTTTATGTGTTTGTTGACCAAGGTGATGCAGGCTCAGTGTATAAAGACAGAAACTGAATTCTATCGTTTTAGTCAAAGTGAAATAATCAAGGGAGAAGGACACACAATGGGAGCTCTCTACTGGCAACTCAATGACATTTGGCAGGCACCTTCATGGGCTTCCTTGGGTAAGTTTTGTGAGAGTCTGGTCAAAAGCAGCAACTTGTTTTGTTTTCCTCATCTGGAAAAATAAGAAGTATGGCTCTGCTTTCTCGGGCAACTTTGAGAACTTTGAACATGTTTCTGATCATCCTTTAGAAATGCTTTCTATAAGAGTTTTTTTCAGGACCATTGTAATGGTCTGTGGAAGTGGAAGGGGGTAAAGAACAAAACGGTTCTTTTCCTCTGGAAGTTTTGCTGTTTAAGTTCAGGTTTAGCAGCCATCAACTCTTACCCTTGTTTTGGGAAGATTTAGTTTAGAGAAGTTAAAATTGTACATAACTCCTAATTTCTTAAAAACACATTTTTTTTATTTAATCAGTATTCTTATTTCTCCCAAGGAAATAATATCATTGAAGCCAGACAAAGCTGCCTATTAGGAAGCAGTGATGGTTAAGAGTCAGGGCACCGCCCCTTTGTGAGGTAAACTTTCAACAACCTTTGCTTTTCTTACATAGAGTAGGATCTTCCTGAAACTGTGTGTGATATATCATCCAGGTTTTTCCAGAGAAATTTGCATTTTTTTGCAAGTGTAATTATTTTAAAATTAGAAAGATCAACTCTCTTATAATTGGGGTCCTATAAGAAATTCTGTTTCCAAAATAAAGGGCCTGTCCTAGAAATCCCTGATTATGTTTATTGGCTCAGCTGTACAGCTCATGTATGTACCCAGCCACCCTGGGTGAGAATGGACAGTGAGGGAGCTAGTAGGATGGTAAAAAGAAGCATCCATGCATAATTTTATTTCCCAGAATCCCAACAGATTTGGTTGATTTTGTTCCCCCTGTCCCCTCATGGTAAAACGATCAAAACCTCTCCCTTCAGTAGGCAGTAGCACGCTGTCAAAAAACCTAGAACTGTGATCCTGTTCTGAGAGGATGGGATTTAGCACATAAAGGCTAAGTGGGAGAAATGGTTATCTCTAGAGTGTTATTCATTGTGTCCTTAGCTGTCTAATAAATGTGATGAATTAACTTTTCCATGCTGAATTTGATTGTCATAGAATTTCATATGACACCTCTCACCCAGCATAGCTTCTGAGAAACTCTTTATAGGAGTAGATGACTAGCCTGAGATTTGGTGTATTACTTAGTGTCAGGTGAGGTGAATCACTCTTTGTGACTAGATTATTCTGCAAATATGCTATTTATTTACATGATATCTCCTTATATATTATATATTGTGTTTTTCCTTTTAGAACACAAAAATGGAGTAATCAGACATAAATAGATAAGTCACTTAGGCAGTAAGAAATAGGGGAGGAATGTGTGGTGTGAGGGAAGTGGCTGTGTTTCATGTTCTGAACATTTTGTGTAGAAGTCCTTTTGAAATGGAGAAGCTGTTCTATGGATAGTACTTGGTTAGATTTTCTTTCAATTTTAGTTATTTCTCTTATACTCTGTTTTGAAAATCTTTATTTGAAGAAATAGGAGTGAACTGGAAAAATCTAAGCATCAGTGTGAAGTTCTTGATCTGTCCTTAGTATAAAATGCTATTTGGCCTTGCTTTAAAAAAAATTAGCCCACCTCATCCTCCCCCTCTTTCTCTGGAAGATGTTTGTCCTTCTAGCTTTTTCTTTTTGTTCTTTTTTCCTTTTTTTTCCCTTTATTCATGCAGGCAAAGTAGCTGCAACCAACAAAGGAAAACACACTGGTAGAAGAAACAGGCTGGGTGTTTTTTTGTTTGTTTTTTTTTTTTTTTAATGTTAAGGCAGTGGTCCAACTATAATGCTCATCTTTCTGGACTTTCTAGATTTGTATTAGGAAATAGAATATCCCAGTGTTCATTTTTATGGTTCTAGCAATGGCTGATGCTCTTAGGCTTTAAGTGCCTCAAGAGAAAAAGATGCCTGGAAAAATGTCTCTTTATAAAGACAGGTGTATTGATAGACGAAGTGACCATGGAGACCAATAATGTCTTTTTAAGTACAGAGCCGACATCATTGTAGAAAATATATCAAATACTCGAATTATTCATATGTTGTTGAAATTAGTTTACAGAAAAGAACCTCAGCAGAGATACAGCTGTCCTTTTGTTTTGTTCTGTTCCCTCAGTGAAATGAGGAAAGGTTTAATATTCATTTAATTAGACAATGTGGTAGAGGGATTTTTGAAATGCTAATGGCTGAAATTATGCAAAACTTCAGATAAATTAGTTTTATTTGCACTTCAAAACCACGTTTCTGCATCTTGTTAGATGTCACATTAGTATCACCAATGAGTGCTTGCTTAAATCTGCTATTTCAGGGAGAGCCATGGAGGGACGTACATAATTTCCTGTACAAAGTGGAAGTGTTTCCTCATGAGGTGGGGAAGGGAAGAAAATAGCAAATGTTTCTCCTTTTAACTTGCCTTTAAGATGTTTGCTTGAGATTGAATGAAAATACAGCACAGCACTCCTGTCATAGTACTTCCGCCTTCAGTTGAGAACCAAACAGCTTTTACCACAACTGGGTTTTGATTGCTAGTGTCTGGTTGTGGAGCTGGTTGCGCCATGTTGAATGCTTTAACATCTATGCGGTGTGTTTTGGTTAAAAGCTCTGGGCTACACATGGCAATTTACCTCACTCCCACACAAGTGTCACCTTGAGGTATCCAACTTGGTTGTCATGAGATTCCCTTTAACAGATAATGCTTTTATGGCAGATTCAATATTTAGGGCCCCATGTGAGCTGAAACCACAAACTGTTATGGAGAATAATAGATCTGAATTCATGAGACTGAGGTGAGGAAAGAACTAGCAGCATGTTTCTCGGGTTGCATTTAATGGTGTGAAGTGATTAATTTAATATCTGGTCCAAGGAGAACTATTTGTTCTCACTCCTGCTATCAGTGTAGAAGGCTTCCGGGAAGAGTCAGAAAAAGGGGTACTGGGATCTCATTGCAAATCGGATTTTAGTTTCCTGTTCTGAAGCTTGATACTGCAGAGAGTGCAGACCCCATGTTATTATCAGGAAAAAAAATAGGGAACTTGGATTTCTTTACAAATTCATTTAAATGTGGGGGGAGGAGGAGAAAACCACCCCAGGGCTGTTGCTTTTGGGCGTGCATGCCTGTGTGGCAGGTGCACCTGCCCAAGGAGAGCAGAGTTTCTTGGCTGCTGCAGTGCAGCAGCTCGGGGCTGCCTTTGCTCTCAGGGCCTCGCGGTAGTTGGGGCCTTTGGCAAATGGGAGCCGCCATTGACCACAGGTCAGATTGGGCCTGGGGATCAGTGGAGTCCCCTGGAGCCATTCTGAGCTCGTCCCCTGGAGCAGCAGCTGCGGTCGAGGACTCTCCCCCGGGGGTCAGGACGCTGCCTAAGGAAACTCCCTGAGGTGCCTTGGGTCGGGACGCTGCCCTGAGCAGGTCCTAGAGGTTGAGATCCCTCACTTGTCAGGTGAGTGATAGAGTGTTTTGGGTTGCCGTTAAACCCTAGGTAGCAGGGCTTTGTAAAGCCTTTCGGGTTGCCAGCCCCAGGGAGTGCTTTTGGGTTGCCGTTAAACCCCATAAAGTTGTTCTGTTCTCCTCTCACAGGTTTTCGAACCTGTAATTTATGGAGAGCTAGTTAACTGTGTTAATGGGGTTTTTTTGTTTGTTGGTGTTTGTTTTTGGTTTGTTTTTTAATTTTTGGTGGTTGGTTTTTTATTTGAGAGCCTCTGTAACAGTAAAGTTTAAGCCCTGAGATTTCTCACAATAGTTACCTGATCTCCAGATTTCTTACATTCATTTTTGGGGCCGGGGGAGTATTTTATATGCAGTTTGCCTGTTGTTAAATCAAGAATTGTGACTCTGGTCGTAAGGAAATCAAGGCAACAGATGTGCTGAAGGATGTGGCTTTTTTTTTCTTTCTTTTTTTTTTTTTTTATCGGTGAGCTTCTGTTTCTGTTTTCTGTGCTGTCTGAAGTTACTTTGACAATTGTATTATCAAGATCCTGTTGCTGGAAGGGTTATCTTTGGAAGAACCTTCTTGTGTGAAACTGCTCCAGCAGTTGATCTTTGGATCTTCAAAATGGCTCTAGGTTTTTTTGGGAAGGGAAATACGAACCTTAAGAAGATGATCAGAGGTAAGCAGACTAGTGATGTTTTCAAACATCCCAAAACAATAGCTGTAGTAGTTGAACCCTAGAATGAACTGTGAAATGGTACAAACTTTTAAGTGTGTGGATTGTTTGCTTTTGTTGGTTGGGTTGCTTTGTTTGTTTTTTTGCCTGAGGAAGTGTAATGCCAAGTTTAGTCTGAGTTGTTTTCTCCACTGTACAGGTTTCTTGAGGAGCTCTGTATCTGCTGCCTAGGTAGCAAACCTCTCTTTCCCTCCAGTAACCACCACAGTGTGGTTACATAATCCAGTTGGAAATCAAGGCAGAAAAGCAGAAATTGAGGGTAGGGCAAGAGAAATGGGATTTTATATTACAGTAAGTAACAGAAACTGCTCTACTTAAATTGCATTATTCATTTTCATATGTACAGTTGAAGCATAGATTTTCATCATGTAAATTAAGCTGAGGAAAAAATTCAAGTTAGCAGGCACAACCTCAGCCCATGCTGGGTAACTTGTCTGAGCTCGTGGTGGCCTCTGAGGCCTGCAGTGAGCAATATCTGTTGTACTGACAATTGAAATTCCTGAGAGTCTTGTGGCAGTCCTGAGGGCTTAAGAGAGTTCAGCCCCTCCCAAAGCCTGAGGTTATAGGCTTAGTGCCCGTTTCTCATACAAGGTCCATTGCTTTAACTTTTTAGATCAAATGCTTCCCCGCAGTTTACTCTGTTTTGGATAATCCATCCCCAATCCAAATCTCTCATCTTTTCAAGTTTTATGGCCCTGAAAAGTAATTTGCTAGTACTCCCTGGTTTTGGCAGAATTCGTCTTTAGATCACCAACATTTTCCGCCAAGAATTGTCCTTGGAATGCAAGAATGTGGCTTCATTCATACACTGAACAGCACCAGTATGCTGAGTATGTTCATCAGTTTATCAACAGTCTGTTCTGAAGAAACTCAGCAGCCTCTCCTGAAGTTTTTTTTCAGGCTTCATCTCTTCAGTTTGCTTCAGTGCTATTACTTGAATGCTGGTTGTATTTTGTTGACAAGTCTGATCTCATAGCACAGTTGACTCTTGTATCGGTTTTCCAGGCAGATATGAGCTCTTCTTGTCTGTTCTCCAAGCTAGGTGGTTGTGAGCTTGCTGAAAAGAAGGTGGATGTGCAAGGTGCTAAACTGGAGCTAATGCACTTTGCTCTCTACAAAGGTCATTCATGTCTATGTGGAGACCAGGCAGAACATGTTCAGGTCTGCCTATGAAAGCCACAAATACACTCTTTAAAGGCTACATCACTGTGGATGAAGTCCTTAATTATGAAATATTTGAAAATGCTAAGAGCTTTGTACAAGTACCAAAACACAGGTAATTAGTTACAACCAAAACATATTAATGGAAGTATTTTTCAGCATCCCTGAACTTGAAACTTGTATAAAACAAAGAGTCAGGAACAAGAATGAAACCAATATCTAACTTCCTTTCCTTATGAGATGATGCAGCTGACTTGCTACTTCTTTTTAATGACATTGCAATGACTAGAAAATGGTTGAGCAAAGACAACTAAAATGCTGACAGTGGGTGCTAGATGAAAAATGAAGAGAAAGAAATGGAAGCAGCTTCTCTTTCAAAATGGTTTTGTGGCAGTGCTGCATCTGGAAAAATTGTATTTTTTGGAGAGGACACAATGTTTGATGAGTTTTCCAGTTTATTCGTGGCAGACTATGAAAGTATTAAAAGTAATGACCTATAGCTTTCCATCAAATAGGCAAAGTTTAACCATTTGGCATATATCTACATCACGTGTCTACAAATCCTATACATTAAGTGTTGTCTCTACATCTTGGCAAATTAATTTTGCCTAACTCAGGGCTGTCTTTGCTTTGAGAATGTGTTTTTTTTTGTCTTCATTGATATTGATGTTCCTCTAAGGAAGAACTGAAAGAGAAGGATTGAAAAAAGGGGAAGAGTGTGCTTTGTGTAAGCATCAAAAGTCAGACTCTGAGCTCTTTACAGTGGTGGTAATTTGTGGCAGTGCCACCAACACCCACATGTTTGTCTGGATTCTCAACAACATAGATGCTCCAGCTGCTTGCTGAGTATGTGGTACGCTCTGTCAGTTTTGTTAATGTCACTTGTGTTTAAGGCTTTTTAAAATTGAGTAACAGCATAGCAATGATAGGACCAATGCTTTAAAAAATGTGACCTTTTGGTGAAGCTCAAAAAAACCACTTGAATGAGCAGTAGACCATTTCCAGAGCAGAGCCTTGGCTGGAAGAAAACAAAGAGTAACTTGAGTCATTCTCTGCACCTGATAGAGGTGAAAAAGGGTGGAGGAGGGTATTGCCATAGCAGGACCGCAGAGCACAGGAAGGGATTATGTGCTGAGGCAATCTTGGATTCAGTCTGAATCTTTCTCCCCTTTAACCCTTTTCAGAGTATGGTGGCAAGTGGAAACTGCTCCATTATTTTGCCCAGAACTTCTTTGCACCACTGCTGCCTGTGGCCTATGAAGACAAAGGTGTGTTGTACATTTATGGTGTCTCAGATCTTCATGCAGACCACAAGCTGACTTTGAGGGTAAGTGAAACCTCTCTCACCACCCTTATGTTCGTCTCGCAAAAATGTGAGAAGCTGATTGAACACATCTTTGTATAGACAACCTTCAGCAGGTCCATGTTCATACACAATAAGGTGCAATTCTTGTCTTTAATCTTGAGGCAACACTGTCCTTTATCATAGTGGTGTGTACTGCTTCACAGAACAAGGAATTGTTCCTTGTTTATAGCCTGTAGATAGAGGCCTGAAATTAAGTGTTCTGTTGAAATCTTAAAGGGGTTGATGGTTAAACAGAACGAGGTGTGAAAAATGGTACCTCACTACTTAACAAAGCTGTTCCCTGGGTGTTAGAGGTAGATTAACTGACTAAGTGGGGGAAAAAAAAATGATTGTACTATTGCTTGCCAGTACTCAAACTACACTGCTTTGGGAAAAAGAACAGGATTATTTTCTGAAATGTCAACAGAACGTTTAGGTGTACTTTAATTGCAAGGTCACTTATGTAATATCACCATTTTACACTTGATGCCTTAACCGTTTTCTGATAATGCTATAGAAACTGTTAGGATTTCTTAAGCAGTATTTGAGCTGCTGAGTTGAGCTGCTGTCCTGTAGAACACAGTCTTGCTTTTCAACTTGTTACATTTTGTTGCTGTTAATCATATGGCAACCAGACCTGACATTTTGCACTATAAGATATAATTCCTGACATAAAGGACATTCTGTGTGAAAAGGCTGGAAAAATAGACTTGGAGACCTGGAATGACTCACTAGTAATTTTGAAACTAGTAGCATGAGTATGTCAATTCCTAGTTTACTGCTCTGTCTGGTGGGGTGCCATGAATTTTCAGATTTATGAGGTTGTTTATAGTGATATATAGTATAGAAAATGGTTTCAGTTTCTGGATGGTCAGCTCGTAGAGTAGAACTGCACTTAATGAAATTGTTTCTTTCTGATCTGAGTTATTTTAACGGGTTTAAATTCAGATTTTGTGATAATGCGAGATAAGCATTGACAGTAGGGTGCTTCCGATGAATACTGTATTTTGCACTTCAAGAAAATTTGGAATTTAAAACTTTTGAAAGGAGTTAAGATCTGTTCCTGACTGCAGACCCCCACTAAGGTAAAAAATAACCTAAATTGTATGAAGTGATAGAATGCTGCAATTGTCATTAAGTACCTATCTTCCAAGTTATGCTTTTTTTTTTTTTCCTTAAAACATAGGGGGTGCATTCATAATGCATGCCTGATCTCTGGGAATATGTATTTTACTGTATTAATATAATTTCCATAATCCCTTTCAAGATGATGCAGCTTGCTTCTGTTTAATAGTGATTGTGCAGAAACTCTAGATTCCCCAGCTGGATTATATCAGATAACACTAAGAAATATCAAGAAAATCCTTTGTTTGACTTTCTTAATCAGGAAGGGGAGGAAAAAGAGTCAACAAATTAGTCACTTACTAATTCCGTTTCCCAGCACTCCCTTGGTGGGAATTGGCAACCCCCTCCTCTCAAGGAGCCTGGAGAAAACAAAAAGCCTTGCAGATCAAGAACAACAAATCTAGACTGTTTGAAATTGTTTAAATCTTTGTGGGGTTTCTTGCTAGGTAGAAATCAGCTGGTACTGTCAGGAGAACATTTCTCTCTTGGAATGAGCAATCCAAAACCTAGGATGCTGGGATGTTTTCACAATGTAACTTTTCTTCTAAGCTTTGTGCTCTCTCAATATGCTTTGATAGGTCGTTGTGCACAGCTGGAGTTCTTTGGAGCCAGTATGCACCCTTGCTAAAGAAGGTGTGACTGTCAAAGCACAAAGTGCTGTCCCCATCTACAAGGAGTCCATAGATGACTTGCTGGAAAGATGCAGAAATTGCACCAGGAAAAGCTGCGTTATTACTTTCTGTCTTGTGGGAGAAGGTGGGCTCCAGAGTCCTACGAACCATCACTTCCTTTCATCGCTAAAGGATGCTGTAGGATTAGAAAAGAGCCATATTAGTGTAAGCATCAGTCATGCTAAATTACTGTATTTGGTCTTGCTAATCTTACTGTTTTGAGTTATTTGCCTGCTATGCAGTGTCCGATTCCACATAATGTTCTTTCTCTGTGGGTGTTGCAATTCTAGCTTCCCTGCTGAGTTCAAAATCAGACTTTTTTTGTGTGTGTGTGTGTGTCATTATATGTGTATCTAAATAACACTGGTGGGGTTTTATTGGTGGGATTTCTTTTGTGTTTTGTTTTAAATAATGAAGTCTCCATTTAATTTGTTTTGACTGTCTTTCACCTGACTGCTGCAGCATTGCTCCTTTCATTCTTTTTGTCCCTAGATAGCAAATAACATCATGGCAAGTGTTTTGGCTTGCAGACAGTACTGTATGTCAGTACTGGGTGGTGCCAGTTCACGAGTGAGGAGTGCATTACTGTCAGCAGTATTTCCTCTTGGAAGTGCTCAAGCTCTCAGATCAGTGTATCATTGCTAACATGCAATACTGCATGCTCCTTTCCTCCTCCTGCAAATCCCTGCCCTCCAGCTAAGGGTTCTGATTTGCATAATAGTGATTATTTCTTAATAACTGGCAAGTGTGTCAGTCTTCTAAACAGGCAGAAAAAGCATCAGTTTTTTATAACACTCTGGGGAAGATTGAACTCAGCCAGCAGCCTCGTGGCCAGCCATTCACCTCTCCCTCCCCCCTCTGGTAAGATAGGGGAGGGGCAAAAAGAAGAGAATTCATAGGATGAATAAAAAGAATTTACTAAATATAACAAGAGAACAAGAGAAACAATAGTGAGTTCAAAAAGAAAACGGGTAAAATGCAACAGTGGCTTACTGAATGCAGCGACTGCCCCCC